GGTTGTGTCTTGGGAAATATAAAAATCTAATCAAAACACTGTAAAAATGAACAATATTATCGAAAAATGTTATTATTATCAGAATGATAATCATTATTTTAAGTATAATTATTACTAATGTAGAGCTACAGTTAACGTTTCTGTAATTTGACTCGACAGTAAATTAGCTTAATTCTCAACAACCCTCAGTGTGTCTTTGGGATGCCTCTCACCTCCATCTCGGCCTGCTTCCTGTAGTTGTGGTCCCACAGCACCACCTTGCGGTCCTTGCCCCCCCCGGACACCATGGTGCCGTCCTTCAGCACGCACACGGAGAAGATCCCCCCCTCGTGGGCCCCCGAGACCACCTGGCTGATGCGGGTCCCACCTGGAGGTCAGAGCAGCGGCCTTAGAACCCCCCTCTTTTCCCCAGAGATGCTCAGTAACCAAGTAGAACTACCTAAGTACTGTACTTAAGAAAATGCAGTATCTGGACTCTATTGGAGTATATATATTTTGCCCTACTTTCACTTTTATTTCATACATATTTTTGATTAATTTAACACTTTTAATTTCCCGGGCTGAATGGTTACTGTTTACTGATATGTAAACGTAATGAATCATCCCCAGTCATAGAGTCAGAGCTGTAGATAGCTCTGTCAGGGTTTGGGAAGCTGGCTCCTCATTGGACTATTTGAGCATAGCCTATAAAAAAATCCATCCCCTCCCGGGAAATTGTCTGTGACCTACTGGGGGAATTCCAAGTAGCTGGTTATTAGCCAAACCTGGTTAGTTGACCTGGAGGCCGTGGTTAGCCTGTTGGTGGAAGAGCTTGATGCCTCATGTTGATGCTTCTGTTCCATCTTAAGGTTTTTACCACCAGGCTTAACTCGCCCCTCTGAACTTTGGGGATTCTTTAATTGTGTTTTGTTTTCAGTTTTTTGTGAACACCTGTATGGCCTTTCACACATTTGAAATGATATAAACAATATTTATCAAACTTTTGACTGCCTTTTTTTGATATACAAAATACTTGATACTTGATTAGCAATTTTTTAAATACTTCTACTTGCAATACTTAGGTAAAAATAAATTGGAGTACTTCCGTACTTCCACATAAGTATGGTGTTGAAAGAACACTTCAACTTTTACTCATATCAATTTTTTATATAGTACTTGTACTTCTACTCCAGTACTTTATCCATCTCTGCTTTTCCCTCTTTGCT